TTATGTTGGGCCTGATCTTGCCTCCCTTTGGCCGCACCCTCGCTCTTGCTTCCCTCCCACCCTCACTATCCCGGCTGCCCTTGTCATCACTCCTGGCTGCCGGTCAGCACCCGTGGGTGGGGGCCCACTGCCTCTGGCTTGAGTTTGCGGCTATCTGGCCCTGTGCCCATTGCGTAAGTAGCCTGGCATAGAACAGTGCCTTGCAAATGTCTCTGAGAGGCCAGGAAACAGGTCTTTCGGCTTTTGGGGCCAGAGGCCTCTGAGGCTGTGCCGTGCTTGTAGCACAGAATCGCCTGGAGGAGACATAAGCCAATAGGTTGGCTTGTTTATTGAAGTGTCAGTGTAGACCCTGCGATTTGAACTTCAAGTAATGCCCACCTCGTGGAACAGTCTTCTTTTGATTCATTCCAACCCCTCCCCAGCTATTTGAAAACACATAAGCAATCTGTCTTCATGGGCCCTACAGAGACAGGTGGCCAGATTGGGTTTGGTTAGCAGGACAAAGCTTGTGCCTGGTGTAGGACAAGGATTCACCAGAATTCTGTCACATGCATCCATTCAACAGCTTCAGCAGTTGCTCAGAGTGAGCTGAGGGTGCCCGGGCCTGATTGCTGCACCAGAGACCCCAGTCTAGACAACAGCAGGTGCTGGGCATGAGAATCATTTGGATCCATAGATGTCTGCTGGAGGTCCTTTCAGGGTGTTGGGACAGAGTTACAGAGTTTGGGGGGCGGTTTCTGGAATAGAGCCACGCAGGCCCCTCCCTGAACACTCTAGAGGTGGATGGGGACTTCACAGAGCTTCCAAGTCTGTCTCCCCCCAGCACCCTCTGGGATGGAAGGGCCCCAAGACCCCTTTCCTGTTTTGCCGATGAGCTTCCAGGGTGTGATGGATTACTTTGACAGGACAGTTTAAACACAGAACCACAAGCTGCTGGGTGGCCCAGACAACACACATGCATTTCCCCATAGTTGTGGCGACTGGAGTCCAGCACAGTGTGAGGCAGTTAGGCTCCTCCAGGGGCTGTGGAGAGGAGCTGCTCCGGGCCTGACGTAGCTGTGGTGGCTGCTAAGAGGGCATGGGCCATCCTGGCTTGTAGAAGCATCACCTCCATCTGTCTTCATGATCCCAACAGCCTCTTTTTCTGTGCGTGGGCCTCTCCAAATTTCCAATTTAGTGTCTCCTACTCATTTTGGATTAGAGCCTTAATCTCATTTTAGCTTGGTCACCAACTTAAAGATTCTGTCTCCAAATAAGGTTACATTCTGAGGTACTATGGCTTAAAAATTGGGGGTAGGGGTGCATCATTTAAGAACTTGGAAGTGGAAGGACTCACTGAGTGTCTTCTTGATGCCTGTCCTGGAACGAGGGTGCCTGGAACGAGGGTGTAGGGCAGTCATGTTTCCTTGTAGTTTGCTGTTTAAATTTGGTGGATGGAGACCGTTTATCACCCTCCCTGTTCTCCAAGCCTCGGCTAGGGTAAGCTCTGCAGCTTTGCACCCACTGGGACCCTAAGAGACACACAAAGGAGACACGAATATCTTCTTGTTGGGCAGAGGAAGAAGACACTGGTGTCTAGACACTCTCAAAAACAAGACTTGTCCTCCCTCTGTCGGGGCTTGTGGGGATTGTCCGAAATGCTGCCCAATGATGTTTCTTAAAGCAACCTGGATTAGTTACTTTTCTGTTGCTGTGATAAAACACCATGACCAAGGCAACTTATCGAAGGAAGAGTTTGTTAGGCTTATGGATCCAGAGGGATGAGAGTCCATCATGGAGGGGAGGCCACTGGAGCAGAAAGCTAAGTACTCACATCTTCAGACAGGCACAGGAAACAGACAGACTGGAGGTGGGCAAGCTATAGACTGTCAAAGACCTGCCCCCAGGGATGTGCTTCTTCCAACGTGTTTACACCTCCTGAACTTCCCGGAACAGGGCCGCCAGCTAGGGACGAGGAGTTCAAATACTTGGAGCCTCTGGGGGCGTCCATTCAAACCACCACACAACCAGAGATGTAGGTATCTTCCAAACTTGTTGGTGACCTCATCGTTCATGTGATGGTCCTTGGGTTGTGAGAGCTGATGGGTCCCCTCTTGTGTCCTGGCTCCCCAGACATGCCCTTTTTCTTAGTCCTTGTGCAGAGTCCTTGGGTTTCCAGAGAAGTAAAGTAGGAGGAAGGGAAGGTGACAGTGATCAGCTGGTCCTGTCATCTAGACCTTCCCAGCATAGATGCCCCCAGCAACCCCACCATTCCTCTTCCCAGCACTGTGCTGGCAGATGGTTCCTCCTGGAGGCCAGTGGGGCTGGCTCTGAGTCAGCCTGACTTAGCGCCACATACCTTCCATGTGCAGGTAGGACTGACTTTACCTAATGTTGGCATGCCTGGGGAGCCTGCCTGGAACTTACAGGATGATCTACAACTTCAGGACTATGGGGCTAGGAGTAGATGCTCTTCAGCTAAAACCTGCAGCCGGGACACGTGAAGAGGAGTCCCAGAGAGCTAGCAAGGCCCTTCTCTCTAAAAGAAGCAGGGCTAACTAGCAGTGAATAGCATGGTGCAAGTGCATCGAGAAGCTAGTGGACTCTGCAGACGGAAGCTTGAGTGAAGACTCCTGGCCACAGGAGAGGTTCAGCAGGTGCTTGGTTATTTGTGCCCCACACCCAGAGCAGGTGGCGGGGGTGGATGAACAGTAGGAAAGGGCCTGGGGGCTGAGGCAGTTGACCCCAGGTTCTCCTACAGGACAGTTCTTCCTGTACTCTGTTACCTCATCAGCCCCCATGGCCTTTCAGCCCTGTGGAGTGGACAGAGCTGGGGCTGGGGAGCCTTCCACACAGAAAGGCACTGTGGGCCCTGGGGGTTGGTGGGCATGAGGCGTGCCCTGGGGTCATGGTGGGCTTTGATCCTGGTCTACCGCAGAGAAACTGCTTTGCACAGGGCAGAGTCGCTTTGGAGGTACTCTTGGCACTGCTGCTGTGAGTGGCCAGTTTGGGGTAGTGTTGGGCTGATGCCAGCCGCTGTTATTTGGGCCACATGGGAGGGAGAACTTTCCTTGGGGTGATCTGTTCCTTTTGTTCCTGGCTGGCACTTGCTGGGTCCTGGTCCCACGGAGGCCCTCTTCCTGCATCCTTTATGCCGGGCTGGCAGGCAGACCTGGTCAGAACGTAGTGTAGGGATTCCTATCATCCTCTCCTGGGCCTTAGGTGTTGGGGTATAAAGGAAGGAAGAGGTGCCAGGACTATGGTATGCTGAGGTCACTGATTTTTGAGGTAGAACTTTTCTTTGCATTTCATTTAGTGTGGGGGGCTGCCATGGCACTCTTGGGGAGGTCAGAGGACAGCTTGTAAATGTTTCTCTCCTTCGGCTCTGTGGGTTTCTGGGGTTCACACTCAGGTCATAAGGCTTGGCAGTGAAGCCTTTACCCGCTGAGCCATCTTGAAGACCCAAGGAAGAACTTCCTTTTTATTCTTTTCTGGTGCTTAGACTTGAACCTAGGGCCTTACATGTTCTAGGCCAGCTCTCTAGCATGGAGCTATATTCCAGCCCCCAAGGAAGAACTTTTGAAAGGCAGAAAAGAAAGAAATGTGTTGTCCCTATAGGAGAAGTCAGAAGAGTTGGGAGAAGGTTGAAAATGGGAGCCGGCACAGCTCACCCACAGCCACTCTGCACAGCCCCTCCTCAGTGGTCAGGTCCTTCCCCTCGGGCACGATGAGCCTCCACTGCTCTGCAGAAATAAGCACCTGGAGACCTGGGAGCACTCTTGAGTTCCCTAGTACTGAGGTCACACTAGACCTGTGAGCAAGGCAACTGGCCCATCCCAGCAAGCTCACGGGTGACTGGTGCCCACTCAGTGCCCCAAATGTGTCCCCTGTCCCTCACCCTGGACTTCTCGGGTTTGTGAGCTTCTCATATTGTTGTGGTATTTTTCGTGGTGTTCATGGATTTCAAACACTGCCTGTATGTTTACAAGGCACATCTGTTTTCTAACGGTCATTTTCTGTGTCCTGACAGGCCACTTCCTCTGCACCCCACCCCCTACATACCTTTCTGTGCATCTGGAATTCATATTTCCATCAGACAGTAGGGAAAGTCCTAATTGGCAGAGTCTGTCCTGAAGGCTCAGCACACTCCCTGGCCACACAGGGAGAGATTCTTGCCTTCCCAGGACTGCGATGCCCTTTAAACTGTGTGTTACATAGATGAGTCTGGTGTGGGTGAGGGGTACTGATGCAGGCCTGTGCAGGTCAGGCACACAGATGCTGGTCTGTGAAGGTGTGGGACACAAATGTGAGTCTGTGTGCCAGAGGGCTGTTACAAGTGGAATGGCTTTGAGGTAGGGACAGCGTCCAGAATGGAACTTCCTTCCCAACCTGCCTAGGTACTATATTCCCATAAAGGCCCACAGTGGCTCTGCTACTCCGTTCTAGAAAGCTAGCCTGAGGTGGGTGACTCCAGGGGATGAGATGGCCTTCAGCCCATGTGTTTTGCATGGTGGTTGAGTTTGCTCTTGCTTTTCACACCCTGACTATGTCTCTCTGGGACTTAGCTGTCTCTCCAGTGTCTCGGGAGGGGACTGCTCCATTGGGCTAGAATCTGTCCTTGGGTTTGACTGACACTAACCTGCTGCTCTGATAATAGCTAGTAACTATGGTGAATGTAACAGCAAGTCAGGGGTCTGCACTGAGGGCAGATTTCCGGCTGTCACCGCAGTGGGGAGATTGAAAAGATACTGAAGAGGCAGAAGAAGCAGGGCTGAGGGCTGTGAGGTGCAGTCTCTGTGAGGCCGCTGCACCCCACAGGCCTGGCTAGTGCTGGCTGTGGTTGAGGGCAGGCCTTGTCCCACCCATCCCCACCCCCCAGGCAGCCACTGTGACCTTCCAACAGGACAGCCCTGGGAGGCTCACCAGGAAGTTCTGCTGCCAGACTGTTCCCCACCCCTGCAAGGACCCCTTACCACAGTCCACGCTCAGCATCTCCTCACGCTGCCCTTTCTGTCTCACAGGGCCTCTCTCTTCTAGATGGAAGATCAGGGCTTGGAGTTCCTCCTCTGACATCAGGAAGCCAACATTCCCCACCAGGTAGGCACTTGAATAAGTCACATATTTTGACCGTTTCCTTTGCCTGAGGTGCTTGGACACGTGTGGGTGTGCGTGCATGCGTGTGGGTGTGCGTGCATGCGTGTGTGTGTGTGTGTGTGTGTGTGCTTGGACTCGTGTGCGTGCGTGTGTGTGTGCGTGCGTGTGTGTGTGTGTGTGTGTGTGTGTGTGTGTGTACATGGAAGGCTCCTTGCACACAGAGATCACTGTAGCAGGGGGCAGTAGCTTCCAGAAGCCTCTGGTGACCTTGTGGCCCTTAACAGCACAGGAAGGTCAGCTGTCATCAATGGGGCTCTTCCAGCTGGGACCCATATGTTTACTTTCTGTCCATTTCTGTTCTTGTCCTGTGGAGAAACCAGCCTGGCAGCTTCCTCCCTTCCAGGTTGCCTATCCTGTGTTTGCACAAAGAGCTACTATTCTAACAAGAGAGGTTATGAGTTTCCCACGTGCAGTGTGGAGCAGTGGCCTTATGGTTATAGATTTCCTGATACCCCCATTCGTTCGTTTGTTCGTTCATTCCTGGTGTCAAGAGGAAGCCTCTGCTGGTGTTCAGGTCAAGGACTGGATTAGAGGATTGAAGGTGCCTCGTGCCAGGTTCTGGGACTGGCTCCTGCCTGTTCTGACCACTCTGGCTGGCAGTAGGATGGATGTCCCTCATAGAGTCAGTGGGAGAGGATGTTCCACGTGCCATGTTGTCATTCCTGGTGGAAAAGGTCGGCTACAACTGAGCACGAGGCTGCAAGGAGTTTGAGGAGCAGCTGCTGGGTTGGGTGAGCTTCCTTTTCGGGACACGTGAGTTTAAATAAAGCCCTGAGTCAGCTAGGCTACGATAGCCTAGGAGTTGAGGAGTCATTAGGGGTTTACTTTAAATCCCCTCTGTGAGGCCAAGAAAGTCACTTGGCGTATATTTATCCTGATCGTTCTCGTCCTGTCTCTGTGCACTAGGGTAGAAAGAATGTCTGGATGTTGATGGGTACAGAGCAAAGGACGCCATAGCTGTCAGTCCAGGTTGGTCCTCAGCCCCCTGAGGGCTGAGGTTTGAAGGACTAATGCCCAGGAAGTGGCCAGCAGCAGGCCTTTGCCTTATAAGTGCACCCTCTTGCCCGGTTGGCGCTGGTCTGTTTGGGTTGTGGAAATACGCTGAGAGCCATCTACATTCCTCACATTCTTTGGGTCTGGCACTGGCCTGAGGGGGGCTGGGGCTCTGAAATTCCTGGTGGTGGCTGTGGCTTGGTTCTCTCTCCATGAATCAGGGATTTCTGGGGATTGTGCAGCAGGAGGCCAGTGGAGGTGCCTCCCTCAGCCTCACTTATCTGGGCTATCCTGGTGTAGCTTGCTGAGCAAGCCCAGTCCTGATCAGTGTTGGGGGAGGGCTGATGGGGACCACTCCCTAGGTGGCATCTGTGTGGTTTGCTTCTTTGAGCACTCTGCGAGTCATTGGTCCAGTGCTGAAAAGGACGAGGGGTGCCTTGGAGAAGCCCAGTTCAGATAACTCACTTGTGCTCTCCTCTCCCGCCTGGGAACCCGGTGAGGGAGCCCGGGTTTGCGAGGCCTGAGGTGGCAGATGGACCACCAGGGTCTGTGTTTGGGTGAAGTTCAGGGTCTAAACACCAGTCATCACAGTGCTTACGGAGCCCATCCACCGGCTCTGACACTTTAGGCTACTTCTTGTGATTTTTGTCCCTGAAACGTAAACGTGATGAGTATTTGGTGTTTCTTTAAATTCACAGCTTGATTTGCCTCAAGGTTCTTGTAAGACAGTCTCCCAGAGTCTTAGGTTCCCTTCCCAGAGTTCTGCTGATGCCCAGTTCTGTGGTGTGCTTGGAGTTCCTGCAACCCAGGTTCAAATGCTTAGCTTGCTCCTGACCCCACTGCACTACCTGAGACCAGAGGGAAGGAGCCAGGAGGGAGACCCTGAGCTGGCAGATGTTCCTATGACTCCCTGACACCCATGAGAGTGAGCCCCAGTCCCACTGAAGCTTTGTAATGACCCACGGCACTCACATCTCAGGCCCCTAGAGCACTGTGTATGCTGCCCATCTTACAAATGAGAATATATGTCTCCGAGAGGGTTTCATCCAAGTTCAAGTTCATAGTGTTATTATGAGAAAATAGCAAAGCCCAGGCCTAGAATCCCACCAGGTTTGTGTGCCCTCCAAGCTGTCTTCTGTGAACCCACCCTTAGCCGGTATCTGGGAGGGCGTATGAGCCACTGGGCAGGTGCCATGTCCCCAACTCCTTCACTGGCCAGTAGAAAGAGAGAGCCACCAAGAGGAGCCATGAAGTAGAAATTAACAGGTGAAGTTATTGTGTTAGGATGGTAGATTTTAAACAGCAAACACGTAATTAAAAAATCAGATGGGAGGGCTGGAGAGATGGCTCAGTGGTTAAGAGCACTGGCTGCTCTTGCAAAGGACCCGGGTTCGGTTCCCAGCACCCACATGGCAGCTAACAGCCATTTGTAACTACAGTTCCAGGGGAATCCAGGGCCCTCTTCTGACCTCTGTAGGCATTGCAGTATGACATGGGTGCACTTACATACATGCAGGCAAAACATTCATACACATAAAATAAAAATAATAAATAAAATCTTGAAAAAAAGGAAATTAGATGGGGGAGGGCTGGAGAGATGGCTTAGCAGTTAAGAGCATTGACTGCTCTTGCAGAGGACCCGGGTTTTGTTCCCAGCACTCATGTGATGGATAACATCCCTAATTCCAGTTCCAGGGGACCCAGTGCCCTCTTCTGGCCTCTTCTGGCATTGCACGACACAGGTGCACTTACATACATGCAGGCTTATACACTTATATACATAAAGTAAAAATAAATACATTAAAAAAAATTAGATGGGGCCAGGCGTGGTGGTACATACCTTTCTTTAACCCCAGCACTCCAGAGGCAGAGGCAGGCAGATCTCTATGAGTTTGAGGCCAGCCTGGGCTACATAACAAAGACTACATAGTGAGACCCTGTCTTCAAAAATAAGAAATCAGATTGTCTTAAAGGAGGGTCCCACCAAACTACGGTGGCTGGACTCGTCCATTTTTTTCTGTAGAGGACCAGCGGAGGCAACTCTGCATAGCCACCTCCTGCCTGGACATCAAGGAGAGTGACTGACAAAGTCTTATTCTCAGTTTAGACCTACTGCCCCTCAGAGACCCATGTGTTCAAGGCTTGGCTGTCAGCACACGGTTCCATTGGAAGGTGGTTTGGAGGTGCGGCCTAGTGGGAGGAAGGTGGGTCACTGGAAGCGTGTCCTGGAAGGGGCCTTTTCCAACCCTTTCCTCTGTCTTTGCAACCTTCTCCTAGGGTCTTCTGTGCTGCTGAGGCCACAAAGCAGCATGACCCTGTGACCTTGGTCTGTGAACTGAACCTTCCAAGACTGTGAGCCCAGGCAAGCCTGTCTTGTTGATCGTCTGGTGTTTCACAGCAGCAGGAAGCTGACTAGAACAGGGGTCGCCCCGCAGGCCTGTGCTCTCCACACTTTCCTAGTTGTGTGCTTATTTGTTTGGTTTTGAGGTGAAATTCATTCAGTGAGTTAACCACTGTGAAGTATGCAGTTCGGGGGGGCATGTAGGCATGAGTGTTGTGCAGGCACCTCTTTATCTCCCTGGAAGACCACCCCAGCTTGTGCCCCCTGAGTGTTCCTCCCACTGTCCCCTGTATCCACTCCTGACACACATACCTGGGTTCACCTTTGAGCTTTGAATTGGGCTTAGGTCTGGCTTTCAGATGTCCTTGGAACAGAAGGGCTAATACCTGCAGCCTGATTAGCAGCGCGGTGCCTGGCTTGAACATCTCCAGCCAGGTGATGCTCACGTGCTGAGTCTGCCTGGGATGCCTTTGGGCCCCTCCGGATCAGACCTAACCTTGTTGTTTCGAGTGGATGCAAGAGCAGGGTAGGGAGGCTCTTGGCCAGCAGTGGCTACCGGAAGCTGTTCTGTGCATTCAAAGCCTCTGTGTTGAAATGGCCCAAAGCCTGTCCAAGCTCAGTCAATACAGAACAGCAGCAAAAGAGCACGTGGTCAATGGCAGTGAAGGGAAGCCTGGGGAGCCTGGACCAGAGTCTAAGCTGCTCCCTCAAAGGGCCACACACCTGCAGGGTTCTTGAGAGGCCTCGCCCTCCTCCCCTTCCAAGCCGCGGGGCAGATGAGACATTCCGAGACATTCCCCACATACTTGAGGCTTTGAGGGTAGGGAGAGCCGAAAGACTGACTGCTGGAGCCTTGGAGTGCCTTGCTGAAACTGTCTTGAACTTGGAACACCTTCCTGTTCAGTCAGAAAAGCTCTCACCCCCTGCCCTATGTTGGAGTCTATTAGCTCATTTTGTAAAGTAGATTTAAAAGACTGCCAGCCTGCCTCACAGCATCTCCACACAGTTCACAGCACCTCACACAAGGTAAATGCAGCCTCATGTTTATGCTGTATTCTTGAGGGACTAACAACAAAAAACAAAACAAAACAAAAAACCTGTACATGTTTTGTACAGAAATAATTTTTTTTTGGTCTTTTTGAGACAGGATCTCCCTGTAGCCCCAGCTGTCCTGGAACTCACTATGTAGACCAGGCTGGCCTTGAACTCACAGAGATCTGCCTGCCTCTGCCTCCCGAGTGCTGGGATTAAAGGCGTGCGCTATCACGCTCGGCTTAGAAATAATTTTTTAAAATAATTTTTTAATTTGCTCTGAGAATTTCGTCTAAATATATGTTTAATATTTTATTTATTTTTATTTCTTATGTATATGAATGTATTGCCTTCATGTATGTAAGGGTACCCGTGTCATTCAATGCCCACAGAAGTCAGAAGGGCGCTTTGGATCCCCTGGAACTGCAGTTACAGACAGTTGTTAGCAGCCATGTGGGTGCTGGGAACCGAACCCCAGTCCTCTTCAGGAGCGGCCGTGCTCTTAACCACTGAGCCATCTCTCCAACCCTGTCTAAATATTTTTGCTCCGAGTTTGGTTGAGTCCATGGATATAGGA